TAAACTGCTTAGCATGCATTTCACAGCCTCTCTGGGGCCAGCTGTTCCTTTCTCTGCTCTCAGGGCCTGTTTGCTGATCCCCTCTCCACCTCCCTCCTCCCCACACCCCTCCCAGTCCCTGTGCAAAATTGCTTTTGAAAAGATCCACTTTCTGCTTAATTAAACAATGAGGAGGTCCCCTCTCACATCTGTAAACCTCCTTCTGAGGCCAGTTTAGCCCACAAACTGCTCCATTCTTACCCCCATTCACTTGTAAATGGCCCCTCTGATGTTCCCTCCACCCCCTCTCCTCTGTTACTCCCCGCTTGCCAGCTCTTTCTTTTCCCTTTTCAACTGAGGCCTGGGGTGGGCTCCCAGTAGAGCTAGTCTTGGAGCCTGGTGGACTTGGGGACAGAGGCGGTTTAACCTATGGAAGGGAAGACTTAGGGGATCCATCTCTTCCAAATCCAAAGGGCCATCCTGGGGAAGAGGAGTACGTTTGTTGGCATGGTCCCATGGACCATTCAGGCCCAGTGGGTGGGAATGACAGGAAGACAGATTTCTGCTTGGGAGAAAAGAGCTCTTAACAATCAGAGCCGCTCCACAGAGGAGCTGACCTCCTGTCCCTGGAGGTGTTCAAAGAGAGGCTGGATGAGGGCCTCTTATGCCTGCGAGTCAATATCAGATACAGCTTTGAGGTTGTTCCCTTTCAGTCCCAAGAGGCTGAGGCTGACACCCTTTGGGGCCCTCCCGCAGTGGGCAGTCAGTGTCCCCCAGACTAGAGTGAGTCCACTGGGGTGAGGGATTCTGGTGGAGCTTGCGTCGGTGCTCTCCACCATGAGCCTCCTCCCTTTGTCAGCAGCCTTTAGAAGGTGCTGGAGCCCAGAGGATGAGGAATCTGAAGTCACTGTGGGCTTACAGCTCAGAGCAGCCATCTGTTGAGTGTGTCCTGTGTGTGACACTGCTGGGCCTGCCTCGGGCATTGTGCCTTATGTAATCCTCAGCAGCTCTTGGTGTTTGGATGATTATCCTTCCTTGTCAGAGGACGATGCTGAGACAGCAAGGTGAAGTGACTTCCCACCCAAGGGCATTGAGCACACAGCCCAGGTCCTCTGGCTGTGGACTCAGAACTCAACCACTCCACCATGGAACAGCAGCTCCTATCACCTTCTCTGCCCCCAGTGGGCAGGCCAGGTGCCAAGGCATCCTGCCCCGGAAACCTTGCATTAGGTGCCCATCTCCCTCCTCTGGTGCTTTGTTCCCTGGGGGCAGCCTGGCTGCCAGCACCTACAGCCTCAGAGTGTCATTCCTTCCACCTGGGTTGTACTGGGAGCATTGGCCAACCCTGACATCTTGTGGGTTCAAACATCTAAAATAGAAGGAAAGTCAGTATCTAGGATTTCTCACTACTCTCCCAGTCCCCCGTTCCCTTTCCAGCCTCTGATAGGAAGATACAGGATGCCACAGAAAACCCCAGTCAGTCCCAGCACTATCTGATTAATGGTTGGCTCTAACCTGCCCTCCAAAGCTGGGGTGCCAGTCCCAGCACTATCTGATTAATGGTTGGCTCTAACCTGCCCTCCAAAGCTGGGGTGCCATGCCACCAGGTGGAAACCCAGAGAGTTGGAGGGGTATAGGTTCTTCCTCTGGATCCTGGAGTAATTACAGCATTGATATGCAGGTCACAGTGACAAGAGCTTTGTATCCCCCACAAATGCCCCTGTGAGGCAACCTTAACATCCCCATTTTACAAAAAGAAGAAGCTGAGGCTCCAAAAATTCCTTACCCAAGGTCATAGAACCAGGAAGTGATGGAGTCCAGCTCAAAACCAGGCCTGTCTGAATCCGGGGTCCGTGCTCTTAATTTCTTCCTCCCTTCCTCCTTCCCTCCCTACCTCCCCAACTGTCCACTCAAGTAATGGTAATGGTAATGCCATACATTTGAGTCGGATCATGATTTGAGTGTCAGGTCAGACACACATGGAAGTATAGGCCTGGGCAGTGGGGCCTGGTTCCCAGGGAGCACCTATTTGGGAGACACTGCCGAGGTTCAATAGGAGGGAGGGGCCCCTACCGGAGCAGGCCCCTTCACGAAGCCTGTGAGGCCTTGCCTCCTCTGGCCCCATCTCATGCAAGCTTCTTACCTTCTCTGTTCTGCTACCTTGAACCTGCCATTTTATTCTGCTCCAGGCCTTCCCATGTGCTTTCCTTCTGCCCACAATGCTCCCCAGCTCACCCCACTCATCCTTCAGACCTGAGCTTCACTGTTTAATACCCTCAGCCAGGCCTCTCCTGACCCCAGATGAAGGACATAGCATTTGTCACAGCTAATAAAATATGGTGTGTCTCCCCTGCTGGCCTCTAGCTCCATGAGGGTAGGTAGCTCTGTGTCCCTCTTGCCCACTACCATCTCCCTAGCACCTTGCACATAGTAGCTGCTCAATAAATATTTGTCTCCTGAGTCATCACATGGGATCCCAGGAGGGAGATCACCCCTAGTAGGAGTGGGAAGACAAGAAGACACAAAGTGGGAAGGTAAAAGTGAGAGTCTCCAGCCCCCATCTATCCCAGAGCCATCCATCCCCAAGCCACCAGCCCCTGACTCTGCTTAACCCTTCCTCCTCCCCTGGGCGCCTTTGGAAGCCGACCATCTGGCTTGGAGACTATTTGCATATTGTCTGTGCCTCAGCAAGCCTAGCAAGATGTCCCTGGGGGTGTGTTTCAGGCCCTGCCGAGTGGCCCTTGCATCCTGCAAAGGGAGCCATGAGTTCCCCTCTCCCCACCCCCAAATCCAGGCATGGGGGAACAATACAAGTGGTGATGCGGTAGCCTCACCATGGTAACAGGCTATCAAAAATGTGGGCAGGCCTGGGTTGGGGGTGGGCAGAAGAGGGAGGGAGTGACCTCAGCAAATAGGAGCATCATGATAAATGAGCCAGCACCAGGCAGCAGAATCATCCCCCAGCCTGTCCCTCTGGGACTCTATGCTGGTGCCATCGTTCAGATGACCCCACCATGACCACTGGCCCTTCCCCCACCCCCAAGCCTATCCAGAGTGGAGCAGAAGCACCTTCCCTTTGGAGGGCTGTCCCCCTGTTGAGTCCTGGTTCCATGCAGGCCAGGCACTGCCCAGGCCTTCTTGCCACCTCCACACACACAGGAACACCCCCGCCCGCCAGTGCTGGCTGATTGATGTGTCAAACCCCAGTAGCTCTATCGAGCGGCCACAAGATGTATGGGTTGGCGGCCCACCAGACAGTGCCAAGATGGAGGCCAAGGGAATTCAGAGCCAAGGGGAAACCTCTGAAACCCAGGCCTCGGAGAGGAACCCAGCCAGGAGTCCAAGTGGGCTGCAGCTTGTTGGAGGCAGCACTCACCCCATCTCCTGCCTGCTCAGACCGTGAAGACTCCGATCCGCTTTGTTTAAAAGGAGACATTAAAATGGAAAGGCGGCAGTCTCAGTTTATGGACATTTTGCCCATGGCCCTGTGCTCTGCTGGCGTACGATCCAGGCAAGTTGGCACCGAGCAAAATGGACCATCCAGGCTACAGGCCTGTCAGTGACGTGGCACGTGTGCCAGCCAATGTGGCTTAACTCCCTGCCCAAGGCTGGGGCTGTGTGTGCATACATGCTGAGGGCCCAGACAGGGCAGAGTGAAGCCTCCTTGAATCCAAGCAGCCTTTCCCTTGCCTGCACTCCAGGATTCTGGGCCCCAGACCAAGCTTCATCTCAGGCATTAGTCCAGGACAGCAGACCCCTCTGGACACCAACTTGAGATGGGGGTGGTTAACCCCAACCCCTCTGCTGGCTTCCCAGAGGCAAGTTGTCTCCCCAGGAGAATGGTCTGTTTCAGGGGCAGACAGTGGAGGGTAGGCTTTGAGGTGTTTATAGAGCCACATTCCTGTGTGCTGTGGCCTGATACTGTTGTCCCTAGGAAAGGAGAGATGACCCGGGAGACCGGTGGCTCTGAGCCTACACATGACCTACAGAGGGACCGGTGGCTCCCCCAGAACCACAAGGAGGCAGATCTCAGTGTTAGCTGAGCAGGAGAGGCCCTATCACCTAACCTCTGGCCACCCCCACCCCTGGTGGGGAGGGCTCTGAAAGCTAGGGGTGGTGGTGGGGAGTGGAGCAGGGATTTGTCAGCATCCCTGGCTGGTGAAGGATCCTTCTCTCCCTCTGCCAGAGGAAATTAATTGATGTTATCAGCTCAGCAATTGTTTTCCTTCCCCTCACAAAGGGAAATACATGCAGACCCCTCCAAGAGCAAAGCCAAATCCTCCCCATCTGGGACTGGCTGGAGAGATAAAGGTGGAGGAGGCTCTTCAGGGTCCTCTCAGAAGTCCAGCCATGGCAGTTGCAGACTGGCTTCCAGGACTTGTGGGTAGGGGCCTGTCCCCTAACCCTTTAGATGTGGCAGTTCCTCCTGCTGTCTGCCTTGAATCCCTGTATTATAGGCGGATCCCATTGCCTATTCTCCTGGACTTCAGCAGTGTCAGGTGCAGCTTTTTCTAAAGATCCATCTGGCAAGTCACTGGCCTGTCCTAACCTGTTTCCTCACCTTTGAAATCTACAAGTTCATAGGCCATCACAGCCTGATCTAAAAGAAGCCCTCTAGCTGGGTGCAGTGGCTCACGCCTATAATCCCAGCACTTTGGGAGGCTGAGGTGGACAGATCACAAGGTCAGGAGATCGAGGCCATCCTGTCTAACATAGTGAAACCCCGTTGATACTAAAAATACAAACATTAGCTGAGCATTATCTGGGCGTGGTGGCATGCTCCTGCAATTCCAGCTACTCAGGAGGCTGAGGCAGAATCGCTTGAACCTGGGAGGTAGAGGTTGCAGTGACCCAAGACCTCGCCACTGCACTCCAGCCTGGGCTACAGAGCTAGACTCCATCTCAAAAGAAAAAAAGAAGCCCTCTAAACCCCATGTGTATTTTCTTCTGTGCCAGGCAAGGCTCTGGGGTGCAGGTGCCATTTGGTTTGACAAGAGTTTGTTCTGTGCATTCCTCTCCAGGGGACATCCGGAACCTGCTCGTCTGGATCAAGAAGAATTTGCTAAAAGAGCGGCCAGAGTTGTTCATCCAGGGAGACAGCGTGTGAGTCCCACTCCTTCCTTCCCTGAAGAGGGCGGAGGGAGGGACGGATATCTGAGCCCCCTCCCTCAGGTTCAGTCCCAGCCTGAGTCTGGTTCTCCCTTTCCTCCTCTCTGACTCCTCGGACAAAAGAGCTTCGGTCCAGCTCTGTCTGAGATCTATTTTCAGTTTTCTTGTTACTAAAACTGGACTCGAGGATTTGTTAAAATCCCAGATGAAAGGAGCCTGGTGAATTTCTCAGAAAACTTGGATTCTGCCCTCTCGTTGCCACAGACTTGCTGTGGGACCTTAGGCAAGTTACTTCGCTTCTCTGGACCTCAGTTACTCTCTACACAGAAAGTGTTGAGGAAAATGTACCTAGTGCGACTGAAGAACTAAATATTCTGTTTTATTTCATTGTAATTAAATAGCCACATGTGGCTAGTAGATTACCATATGGTGCAGCACAAGTCTACAGTTCCAAGGAGTCATTGACGCTGTGCCTGCACATAGCCTGCGCATGCACACACACTCACTGGGGACACCCCAGCGCAGTCTGCTTGGAAAGGACCGGGTTCCAGTTGCTAAGAAGTTACAAGGCCAGCCCCCCATGTGAAAGGTGACCAGTGCAGCTGTGAGGCTCATTTACTTGCCTCGAGCATAGGTCACTGTCAGGCCCTAAGGGATCAGGCCTAGGGGATCAGCCCTGCTTCAGGTCATGGTCCAGCGGTCCTGGAGGACCATTCCAGCAGCATTTCTTGGGCCATTGCCAGTGGGAGCCAGGCTAAGCTGCCTGACCACCTGCTGACCTACCCTGCCTTATGCCAGGCAAGGCTGCACTTGACCATTGCCATGTGCCATGGCAACTGATTCGGAATTGGCAAAACAGCCTCCTCTCCAGAATGGGCATGCAGAGGCCTGAAAGAAGCTGAAGTCTTTTCCAGGTCTAACGAGAATAAGGTTAGACCCCTGGAAAAGTGTGGTCCCACTAATGGTTACCATGACAGTGTGGCAAGCACTCCGCACACATCAGCTCATTTCGTTTTGTACAGGCCTTGTGGGGTAGACACTATCCCTTATCCCATTTTCAGATGAGGAACCTGATACTCAGAAACAGAATGGCCTGCCCAAGGTCTGGATGGTGGTGCTGGCTAGCCATTGCACCCATTTTCCATCTGGCTACAAAGGCCATGCATGACTCTCTGACCTGGTTTCCTTTACACTCAGACCAGCCTCCCCTTCCTGGGAGATTGTCAGCCAGACCCCAGGAGGAAGGCTCCCCAGCACCCTCTACTGCAACCCTAAGCTCTCAGCCTCTCTCCATCTGTGCTGCTGCCTTCTGCCTCTCACTCCCTACTACTCACCACCATCCTTCCCACAGGCGGCCAGGAATTCTGGTGCTGATTAACGACGCCGACTGGGAGCTACTGGTCAGTACCTCGGGGGACATCTCTCCCTGATCCCCTGCCTTGCTGCTTCAGTGGGAAAGCCTTGGGCCTCTCCTCAGGCCCATAGAGTGGCTGGGTAATCCTCCGCCCAACTCCAGCCCCACACTGAGGCTGCTGGAGTCTCCCACCCCAGGTGAGGAAGGGATGGATAGCTGGAGACATGGGAGCACCCCTCCGTCCTGAAGATTTGCAGGTTGAGATACAGGATACCATTTTTCCGGTAGAGTCTGTCTCTTCCAGAGCAGCCAGCCTTCACCCCTTGTTCTCCTAAATCCTGGGGTAGAAGTGGGAAGGTGGCTCTGAGAGTCTCCCGCTCCCCTCTCTCCTGCACCAGGGTGAGCTGGACTATCAGCTTCAGGACCAGGACAGCGTCCTCTTCATCTCCACTCTGCATGGCGGCTGAGGGCCCCTCTCAGGGCCTGGGCACCCTTAGAGGGAAGAATGAAGCAATCAGAGATCCCCTGGGGCCCTGCTTCCAGGTCTCCCTGTCCCCCTTGGCTGCCTTCTTCCCTGCTCTGTCCCCCAAGCTCCCTCCAGGCAGGGAAAAGAGGCCAGGTGCTAAAAATGAGCCTTTCTCAAGCACGTGAGCAGGGAAGGCAGACAGGCACCAGAGCCCAGCACTCCCTTTTCCAGCAGCTGTGGTGGGGGAGGGTGCCCCTCTAGTTTGTCAAGAGTGGAAGGGGGCTCTGTGGCCAGGTGACCTGGCTGCCTTCCGCTCCTTGTACCTCAGTCTAAACATGGAGTGACTGCTGACAAGGAGCTCCAGTCCCAGAGCCAGCGTCTTCACAGGGAAGATAAATGGACCTGAATAGCTGGAGAGGCCCCCCCCTACCCAAAAAGTGAAGCCGTCTCAGCCTCAGTTTCCCTGTCTGGACAGCTGAGGGCTCTGCCTGTTCCCTGCTGATACCATTATAGAACCCCAGCTGGGGTCCCCTATTTGTGCCGAGCGCCCCCCCCAGCAGCTGCTCCTCCAGCCACACCCTTCCTTCTGCTCCCCCCACTCCTAGCCCTTGACCCTGGCTGGCCTCCCCCTCTCCACAGGCCACCAGATGGGCTTCTGAGACCCTTCCTAAGCTGCCTGCAGCTCATTCTGCTGGAGGTAGAGATGAGGGGAGGGAGTGGGTTAAACCTTGGACTGGGCAAGTAGAAGCCTGGGGGGAATCTGTGTGCCTCAGTTTCTTCCTCTACAACAACCGAGTATTTATAGTGGCCGAAAACTGGGGAGATAATTGATGGCACAAATGTCCATTTTCTCTTCCTTCCTACCTCCTGCAGGAAGCAGGATGGGGCAGGCAGCACCTGGTAGGCAGAGTGGTTTGCCCCTCCTCCCCTTCCTTTCTGGAAGTCTTGGGGCCTCAGTGCTTGCAACAGCTGGCCTTGGGCAAATAAAAGACTAGGTTGTTTCCTAGCCTTGCTTGGAGCTTCATCCTTGGAAACCGGTGGCACCTCATATCCCTTCAGCCATGGTCTTTGATACAACCTCTTCATCCTCAGCCTAGGGCCTCAGAGCTGCTCTTCACCCTTCACCCAGAAGAGGGGTGGGGGTGAACACTCAGATGATCTGAGAGGGGTAGTCTAATAGAGCCATCTGGAGAAGGGGGTGGGAGAGCCAGTCTGTGCTGACCAGTCTGGGTCCCAGGACGTGTTCCCACCCGCCTGTCCAAGACTTTGTCCCACCAGCTGCAGCCAGCAGCCTCAGAACCCAGAATGGGGGTGGCATAGGTAAGACTGCTGAGCCCCCCTTTCCATGGTCTTTCCTTCCCATGACCTGAAGAAAAGAGCTTTGTTTGCTGTAGACCCCAAAAGAGAACTAGGGCACTAACATTAACCCACCAAAAGCATCATCCCACCCGAAATGTTGCTTTTCATTCTATGTCAATAATTTAAGGTGAAATTTCTCACCCTGTGGAGATGAAAGTGCCAAAAGCTTGTCCCAGCAGCGTTAGGGGACAGGGTGTGCACGTCATTCTTTTGGGGCTAGATGACCCACTGGCTGGTAGGCTTTTCTCCAGCACTACTCCAGGTCGAGGCCCTCTGGGCTTGTGTGAAGTAGGAGCAGCTGTGTTGGGACTATGGGGAGGAGCTGGTCTGGGTGCAAATTAAGGCCAGTGTTGGGGTCTGAGTGCTGTCCAGAAAGGCTATATGACCAACCCTCACTAGGAGCTGAGGTCGGGGTGTCCATGCTAGGGAACGGACCAACAGACTTGTAACAGCCCCTTACAGCTGCACTTTTAGGTCAGCCTGTCCAATTCGTGTAACCTGGAGGTCCCTCCCCATCTCCAGCCCCCTGAGCTGTAGAAGTGGCCCATCACTGCACCTGATCGGAACACCCCAGATTGCAGGTCCTGGAAACTGAGCACTAGGATCCCTTTCCCTGCCTGCAAGGAGTGGAAGGAGTGATAGATGTGGGATATCCCTTCTCCCACCACACCCCAATTAATGCTGAGGAGTAGGGTAGGAGGAGGTGCTGGGAAAACCGGATTTGTTGGCACATGCGGGTGCAAGCACTGTGATTGAAATTGGCCGTGGCCAAGGCGCTCCAGACGATTTCAGGTCATTTTTAGCCCCAGGCTGGAAAGGGGTCGGGGACAGGTGCCCTGGACTCAGCCCTGAGCAACTCCCAATCACCCCTCTCCCAAGCAACTCCTGATCCCTGCTTTTGAGGAAATAAACAAATAAAACCCCGCTATCTCCGAAGATTTTTCTTTAATGAAAAGGATTCCTTTTTCCAAGTTCTGTTTCCAAAGCCGAGGTGATTGCCCGGCTGGAGCGCATCGTTGGCGACGCTTGGCCGTCGGACCCTGGCAGCGGCTGTAGGAGGCTCAGCCCACCGGTCCGTCCTGAGGGGCTTTCGGGAGGGATTGATTTGTTTGGGATTTAGGGCTTGGTTGAGGATTTGTTTTGTTTAGGTAGGAGTATTGGGGTGATAAGTTAGAACAAATGCGAAACGAGTTAGCGGGCGCATTGCGCCGGCCTCTTCTTTCACCCCCGACTTCCTGCGGCTCGGGCTGAGAGCGGACCACTTTCGGCCCCGCCGCTGCGTGCGGGCAGCGTTCCGGCCGAAATTTGAAAGGAAAAACGACGCGATCGACTGGAGGACCCCGCCAGCCGGTACTGGTCACCCGCAGAGGAGGAAGAGAAGGAAGGAGGATGAGGATGCGGATGGCGGCGCTGGCGGCAGGGACCGGCGTCCCGGTGCGCGAGGGCCGGGGCCGCGATCCTCGCGCTGGGGCCAGCCAGCCAGCCGCCGCCCCGAGAGGTCTCGCCCGCGCTGAGCTCCGTCCCTGCGGCCCCCGCCCCTGTTGCGCCCGGAGCTCAGCCACAGATGTCCAGCCACAATTCTCGGTTGGCCGCAGACTCTTACAAGAATTGCGTTTGGACAATCAGTGGCGAAGCCCCTGAGTTCAGGGCCCTGGTCTCCTGCTGGGTTCCGCTTCGCTCCTAAAAAGCGCCAGACCAGGACATCTAGGAGCTGCGCGTCGGACCACCTTGCAGGCGCTCAGCAGCGGCTGCCCATTCGGCGGTAAGGTGGATCAGCAAGCACGCGGATTCCGACCCTGCGCGGGGATCCCCATCGCCCCTGGCGTGGCTCCTTCGATCGCGGCCCGGAGTCCTTAGAGTGGCCCGCGTTGGGTCTCAGCGCCACCCCAGGTCGGAGGGAATCTCCTCTGTCAGGCCTGGGGAGCCCTGACTCCCCTCTCCCTGCCCCCAGCCTGGGCTCTCCGGAAATCCAGAAGACAGGAGCCCGAGGCCGGGTCGCATTTCCGAGCCCCGGGTCCGGGCTGCTGGATTCGTGGGTTCCCCGCCCCCGCCCAGCCCCGCGCACGCACCGGCTCGGGCGCTCTCCGCTTTCCTGTGGCTGAGTCGCGGCCGGGGCGCCGGCGGTGGCTGTGGCGGCGGTGGCCCGGGCGGCGGGGAGTGCTGGAATGCGCCGCCGGGTCACCTGCAGCGCCCGGGGAGCCGGACTGGGAGCCGGCGGGCTGGCGAGGCGCAGGACTGAACCCGAGCGGGCGCCTCTGGCGGCTCGGGGCCGGGGCGGGCTTTTAGTGGACCGCTCCAACAATACGGGCCTGGCGCGGAGAAAGGGGCTCGGCTGCAATTGGTACTGGATTTGAATAACGCCACGGGGCCATCAATGGTCATTGTGTCGGCGGGTAATGAATCTCCGCTGTCTCTCGGGCTGGCCAGGCAGCTGCAACCTGCGCTCAGGCAGCTCTTAAAGACATAGCGTGCCCCTCCCCGGGGGCCGCCTCCCCCTCTGCACCGGCCGGACCCCTAGTCCTCCCACCCCTACTCGGCGCTCTCAACTCCCGATGCCCCGCCTGCTCCCTCGGCCTGACCCTTTTGCCCATCGCCCCCTCCCTTCTCCTGGACCAGGCACCAACCTCCCGGCCCTGCTCTTCCGTGGACCTGACTCAGGCCCCGGCCTTAGCTGAGCTCTCCAAGAGCGCCCAAGGCACCCCAGAGTCTTTTACAGCCCACCCCCGGTCTCCCAGATGCGTGGAAACCGAAGGCCTCTGGAGCCCTCCTCTCTAGGCCCCTGCCTAGGGGCTTCCACTGGAGGGTGATGGGGAACAGTCTGGAAGTCAGAGGGTCATCCCCTGAGAAGACCACGCTGAAGGAGAAAGAGGAAAGGGGTGCAGTCCCCATCCCCGGGGCTGAGGATGCCATCCCCACCCGGGAGCTGGAGCCTGCCCCCTCCCCCCACCAAGGACCAGAGTTTGATTCCCAGGCTCCATCCGACTCCTGGATACCTCGCGCTAGCAGCAGGGGTGGGGGGAGGGGAGCAGGTGGGTGTGAGAGGGGCGTGGAATCTGTGAATGCTTGTCTTATCATTGTCTCTTCAATTGGACAGTCCACCCATCCAGGAAAGCAGGGGCTCTGTCCAAAGTCTAATGCACCCCCAGCCCCACTCCGGTCTGGTCTGGCAGAGAAGGTTCTTAGTCTACTGGGTAAATACATAGCCAGCTTCTCACTCTTAGAGCTTAGCGTATCTTTCCCGATGAACCTCACACCCTAAAGGGGGAGTGTGAGGCCATTCTTCCCATACAGCCTGCCTTTCCCCAAACACGCAAAATACCCCTGCCTCTGTCCTGGCACACCATTCAGCCTTGCTCTGAAATGCCCTCCTGTCCTCACAATCTCTGGGTGGCCTTGCCACGTGCCCGGTGGAATTGTGAATATCGGTCTGTCTGAGTCTCCTCTCTAGGACAGGAAGTGGGTCCTACTGATCTTTGTGCCTTCAGGGCCTAGAACAGTGCCCTCCCCCCAAACAATCATGAAATATCTGTGGGTGGTTGCACGCATGCCCAGCGACTTTAAAATGAGTCAAATAGACTTCTTGGAGTTTCTTGTAAAAGTTGTAAGAATGTTGCTTGTGGGAAATAATTCTTGCAGCCCGGGTTTTACGGGGGTGGGGGGGGGAGCTCTGCTAACCAGATCCCAACTCCTGGGAATGCTTCGGTAATAACAGTAAGGAGTGTATTGTGTGCCAAGCACTAAGCTCTTTGAAGGTAGTAGCTCACTGATTCCTCACAATACCCTGGGAAGTAAGTGCTGTTATCAGCCCCATTTTACAGATGAGGAAATTGGAGTCCTTCTCAGACTGCCTGGCGCTTCCAGCTGGAGAGTGAGGGGGAGCATTCTGGAAGTCAGAGGGTCACCCTCTGGGAAGAACACGCTGAAGGAGAAGGGATGCAGTCCCAATCCCCAACCTCCAGAGACCACACCCCACTAGGGATCTAGAAACCCGGGGCTGTGGAACTTACTGCACACTCTAGCTTCCCAGCCTTTATTTAGCAGATACAGAGGGGATGGACATAAATGCACCCTTAAACTGGCAAGACCCAGGAGATACTCTGTGTTACCTTATATTAATACGTTATAATCCAGTCCCAGCCTGGCATGAACACAACCCAGATGGAGTGGACAGCAGTAGTCTCTGATTACCAGGTGCCATGGCTCACCCCCGTAATCCCAACACTGTGGGAGGCCGATGCTGGAGGCCAAGATGGGAGGATTGCTTGAAGCCTAAAGTTCAATACCAGCCTCTGCCCAGTGAGGAGACTCATGCCTGTAATTCCAGAACTTTGGGAGGCCAAGGCGAGTGGATCACTTGAGTCCAGTAGTTCAAGACCAGCCTGGGCACATGGCAAAACCCCATCCCTCATCTCTATCAAAAACACAACACAAAGATTAGCTGGGCGTGGTGGTGAGCACCTGTAGTCCCAGCTACTCAGGAGGCTGAGGCTTGAGAATTGCTTTAACCAGGGAGGCAGAGGTTGCAGTGAGCTGAGATCCTGCCATTGCACTCCATCCTGGGCAACAGGGAGACTTGGTCTCAAAAAAAAGAAAAATTACCCTGGGAAACAAAGTGAGACCCCCATTTCTACAAAAATAAAAATAAAC